CAGACATCCTGAAGTATGAAGTCAAGTGGGCCTTACTATGAACAAAGCTAGTGGAGGTGATGGAATTCCAGTTGAACTATTTCAGATCCTAAAAGATGGAGCTGTTAAAGTGTTGCACTCAATGTGCCAGCACATTTGGAAAACTCAGCAGTGGCCACAGGACTGGAAAAGATCAGTTTTCATTCCAATCCCAAAGAAGGACAATACCAAAGAATGTTTCAGCTACTGTATAATAGCACTCATCTCACATTCTTGAAAGGTTATGTTCAAAATCCTTCAAGCTAGGCTTCAGCATTCTGTAAACCAAGAACTTCCATATGTATAGGCTGGATTTAGAAAAGTCAGAGGAACCAGAGATCCAATTGCCAGCATCCATTAGATCACAGAAAAACCAAGGGAATTACAGAAAAAAAAAATCTACTTCTTCACTGAGTACACTAAAGCCGTTGGCTGTGAGGATCACAACAAACTGTGGAAAATTCTTATAGAGGTGGAAACACCAGACCACCTTACCTGTCTCCTGAGAAGCCTGTATGCAGGACAAGAAGCAACCATTAGAACCAGATATGGAACAGCAGACTGGTTCAAATTTGAAAAAGGAGTATGTCAAAGTTGTATATTGTCACCTTGCTTACTTAACTTATATGCAGAGTACATCATGAGAAATGCAGGGCTGCATGACTCAAAGCCAGAATCAAGATAGCTGGGAGAAATATCAGCAACCTGAGATATGCAGATGATACCATTTTAACGGCAGAAAGTGAAGAGGAACTAAAGAGCCTCTTGATGAGGGTGAAAAAGAGTGAAAAAGCTGGCTTAAAACTCAATATTCAAATAATGACGATCATGGCACCTTGTCCCAACACTTTATGGTAAATAGATGGGGGAAAAGTGGAAACAATGATAGATTTCATTTTCCTGGGCTCCAAAATTACTGCAGACAGTGACTGCAGCCACAAAATTAAAAGACACTTGCTCCTTTGAAGAAAAGCTATGACAAACTTAGACAGTATATTAAAAAGCAAAGACATCATTTTGCCAACAAATGTCCTTATAATCAAAGCTATGGTTTTTCCAGTAGTCATGTACAGATGTGAGAGTAGGACCATAAAGAAGGCTGGGGGCCAAAGAATTGATATTTTCAAATTGTGGCTCTGTAAAAGGTTCTGGGGAGAAGGCAATGGCACCCAATCCAGTACTCTTGCCTGGAAAATCCCATGGATGGAGGAGCCTGGTAGGCTGCAGTCCATGGGGTCGCTAAGAGTCGGACACGACTAAGCAACTTCACTTTCACTTTTCACCTTCTCTCACTGGAGAAGGAAATGGCAACCCACCCTCGTGTTCTTGCCTGGAGAATCCCAAAGACGGGGGAGCCTGGTGGGCTGACGTCCATGGGGTCACACAGAGTCGGACACGACTGAAGTGACTTAGCAGTAGCAGCAGAAGGTTCTGGAGAGTCCCTAGGGCAGCAAGGAGATATAACCAGTCATTCCTAAAGGAAATCAACACTGAATGTTCATTGTAAGGACTGGTGCTGAAGCTGGAGCTCCACTTTGGCCACTTTATGCAAAGAGCTGACACATCGGACAAGGCCCTGAGGCTAGGAAAGATTGAAAGCAAGAGAAGAGGTGCAGCAAAGGATGAGATGGTTTGGATGGTATCACTTACTCAATGGACAAGAGTTTGGGGAAACTCTGGGAGATAGTGAAGGGCAGGGAACCCTGGCATGCTGCAGTTCATGGGGTCACAAGCTGTCAGACACAACTTAGCAACTGAAAAACAGTGCTTGCTTAGACCCACTTGACTTCACATTCCAGGATGTCTGGCTCTAGGTGACTGATCACACAGCCGTGGTTATCCGGGTCATTAAGATCATTTTTGGGTAGTTTGTGTGTGTGTGTGTGTATCTTCCCACCTCTTCTTAATCTCTTCTGCTTCTGTTAGGTCCTTAGAGTTTCTGTTCTTTAATTGTGCCCATCTTTGTATGTAATGCTCTCTTGGTATCTCTAATTTTCTTGAAAAGATCTCATCTTTCCCATTCTATTGTTTTCTTTGCATTATTTATTTAAGAAGGCTTTCTTACTTCTCCTTGCTATTCTCTGAACCTCTGCATTCAGTTAGGTATATCTTTCCCTTTCTCCTTTGCCTTTCACTTCTTTTCTTTTCTCAGCTATTTGTAAGGCCTCTGCAGACAACCATTTTGCCTTCTTGCATTTCTTTTCTTTGGGTATGGTTTTGGTCACCACCTCTTGTACAATATTACAAACCTGCACCCATAGTTCTTCAGGCACTGTGTCTATCATATCTAATCTCTTGAATCTATTCATCACCTTCACTGTATAATCATAAGGGATTTGATTTAGGTTACACCTGAATGGCTTACTGGTTTTCCCTACTGTCCTCAATTTAAGCCTGAATATTGCAATAAGGTGCTCATGATCTGAGCCACAGGCAGCTCCAGGTCTTGTTTTTGCTCACTGCATTGAGCTTCTTCATCTTTGGCTGCAAAGTATGTAATCAATCTGATTTCTATATTGACCATCTAGTGACATCCATATGTAGAACTGTCTCTTGTGTTGTTGGAAGAGGATTATTCTATGACCAGTGTATTCTCTTGGCAAAGCTCTGTTAGACTTTGCACTGTTTCATTTTGTACTCAAAGGCCAAACTTGCCTGTTAACTCCAGATATCTCTTGACTTCCTACTTTTGCATTCCAGTCCCCTATGATAAAAAGGACATCTTTTGGTATAGTTCTAGAATGTCTTGTAGGTTCTCATAGAACCATTTAACTTCAGCTTCTTTGGCATTAGTGATTGGGGCAACAAACTTGGATTACTGTTGAAAGATTTGCTTTGCAAATCATGATGTTGAATGATTTACCTTGCAAATGAACTGAGATCATTCTGTTGATTTTGAGATTGCATCCAAGTACTGCATTTTGGACCCTTTTGTTAACTATCGGGGCTCCTCCATTTCTTCTAAGGAATTCTTGATCAGAGGAGTAGATATAATGGTCATCTGTATTAAATTTGCCCATTCTATTCCATTTTTTGATCACTGAATCATAAAATGTCAGTGTTTACTATATCTCCTGCTTGACCACCTTCAATTTACCTTGATTCATGGACCTAACATTCCAGGTTCCTATGGAATATTGTTCTTACAGCATCAGATTTTACTTTCATCACCAGACACAACCACAACTGAGTGTCATTTCTGTTTTGGCCCAGCATCTCTGCTCTTCCCCAGTAGCATACTGGACACCTACCAACATCAGGGAGCTCATCCTTCAGGTGTCATATCTTTTTGCCTTTTCATACTATTCACGGGGTTCTCAAGGGAAGAATACTGGAGTGGTTTGCCATCCTCTCCTCCAGTGGAGCACATTTTGTCAGAACTCTCCACCACGACCCAAGCATCTTGGGTGGCCCTACATGACATGGCTTTATTGAGTTATGCAAGGCTGTGGTCTATGTGATCATTTTGGTTAGATTTCTATGATTGTGGCTTTCATTCTGAAGTTGTGGGATTGTAGTTCTTGCTTCTTCTGTCTGCCTTCTGATGAATAAGTATAATAGAGCTGTGCCAGCTTTCTGAGGGGAGGGGCTGTCTGTGGGGAAAATCGGGTCTTGCTCTGGTGGGCAGATCCATGCTCCGTGGATCTTTAATCCGGTTGTTGCTGGTGGATGGGACTGTGCTCCCTCCCTGTCAGCTGTCAGGCCTGGCATCTACGAGCTCTATGCTGGGGCTACGGTGGCCTCCAAGAGGACTCTTGCTGCACACGCCTCCCAGGATGGCTGCCGCCAGTGCCCCATCCTTGTGGCAGGCCTCTTCAGGGGTCAGTGCCCCGTCCTTGTGGCAGGCCTCTTCAGGGGTCAGGAGAGGCTCTGTAGGACACCTTCAAACACTCAGTTAGGTCTGCCTCAGTCTCCCATGGGGTGACTGCTCCTTTCCCCTGGTGCACACAAGGTTTTGTTTGTTCCATCGTAGAGTCTCTGTTTCCCCTAGGCCTGTGGAAGTTCTGTAATCAAATTCCACTGTCCTTCAAAGTCAGATTCCCTGGGGATCCCCAGTCCCTCCCTTGTCAGATTGCTCGGTTGGGAAGTCTGCTGTGGGGCCTAGAACCTTTGCAACAGTATGAGAACTTCTTTGGTATTATTGCTCTCCAGTTTGTGGGTCACCTACCTGGCAGGTATGGGACTTTATTTTAATGTGATTATGCCCCTCCTAACACCTCACTGTGGCTTCTCCTTTGTCCACCTTTTATTGGTGGGTTACAACATTTTCCTGTTGATGTTTGTTAAACAGCTAGTTTTGATTTTGGTGTTCTCACAGGAGATGTGTGCATGTTCTTCCACTCCACCATCCTTACCTCATGGCTCAAATGGTAAATAATCTGCCTGCAATGAAGGAGAGCCATGTTCAACCCCTGGGTCAGGAAGATCCCCTGGAGAAGGTCATGGCTACCCACTCCAGTATTCTTGCCTGGAGAATCCCATGGACAGAGGAGCCTGATGGGCTACAGCCCATGGGGTCACCAAGAGTCTGACATGACTGGGTGACTAATACTTTCACTTGCAATGATACATCCTACACTTCAGTTAAAATATGTAAAATAAAGTACACTTTACAGGAGGGAGGGATTTTTGAGGACAGATAGTGAGAAGAGCTCGCTAGCTGGGAAAGCCATGATGAATGTTCTAGGTCAGTGTTGCTTTGCCCAGGTACCATTAACAATTTTTTTTGATGTGCTTTACTTTTAATACACCTGAGTGAGACAGATAAATCTCCTAGCCTTCTAGTGAGTGAGACTTGCCCATTCTCTGGACAGTTCACCTTCTTTCTGGGCAATGCTTGGTGGATAAACTTTGTATTAGACACATGTCAGGGCATCAACCTTGAACACAGCCCTTTTTCACAAAATCTGTCCCTACCCAGTGGCCCTGCTAAGCATGTGACCTCCTGGCAATGGGCATCTGGGATGGGCAGTGAGCCTGGCCTAATAGGCATGGCAGCCGGTCAGTTGAATCCGCTGCTGCAGTTTGCATAGGCCATCTGGCAGCAGGACCTGTGGCAGAACACGATGACAGAGAAAGGACCCGCTGTTGGCCTCCACTTTGGGCCAAGGGCAGGTGGTAGGTAAGCAGAGAGCTCTGCTCAGTGGAGAGAGGAGAATGAAGCTCAAGTTTCAGGAAGAGAGCCTGGGTGAGAGGGTGGGAAGCGCACAGCTGCTGGCCGGCGGCCTCCTGGACACAGGCGCTGTGGAGCTGAGCGCTCGTGGAGATCTGAGCTTCCCCGAGGCCGCAGGGTGGGCGCCAGCCTCTTCTAACCAAGAGAACCCTGTTCCTCAGGGTCACAGACCCCAGAGGGGTACAACTGCACTGGGGCCTCGGGGACCACCTCTGCATCTCCCCCCTGCCAGTAACCCCTGTCTCATGCCCCGAACCAGGAAAGCTCTTCTTGCAGTGCTGGGAAGTTCACAGCTGTGTGTTTTTTTCACACATCACTACCGCTGCTGAATTATGCCTCTTGCCCACAGGGGACAAACATGGCCAGAGGAGGAGAGGGAAGGTCACCCGCCCTGGTGCCTCACCCGCATTCCGCTCCTGGTTTTTATGCCCAGGTTGCAGGCTCGCTGCAGAGCAGCCTTCCTGCTTTCACGCCTGGCATTGCCCCTTATAGGAGAGCCGAGGCCTGTGGGCCTGACTGCTTCATTGTCACTGCCCAGCCACTGGGCACTGAGCCCCACTGGCCGCCTAGCCATGGGCTCACCTCTGCTGAGGGTGAGGCATCAGAGCCATGAGAACTCTTCATTGTGAAGATCCTAGAAAAGGGCACCAGCGTCCCACAAGGGAGGGGTGCTCACAGGCAAGGTCCCCGGGTAGACCTTAGGAGAGAAGCAGGCCTGGCTGAGCAGCCCTGTGCAGACCGGGATAAACCCCCAGGGTTTCAGCAATGCAAGTGACGTCTGAATGGAATCCTCAGGGAAGGGGATTGAGAGGAAGTGGGGATGGGGAAGGTGGGGAGATGGGAGGTTGGGGAATGGAGGGTGGGGAGAATGAGGACGCCATGTACCCTTTTTCTAGCCTGGGTCTATGGACATTTGGAGGGTTCCAGAGAGAGAGGGGAGCCCTGAAGGGGAGGAAATGGCCATTTTCTAAGCCCTCTTTGAGCCCAGGGATCCAGCAAGCATGATTCCAGGCTGTAATTTGTTTCCTGTGCTGTTGTAACAAATTACCAAAAACTTAGTCAAAATGTATTGTTTTACTACTTTGTAGGTTAGAAATTAAAAGCGGGTCAGCTGGACTAAAATCAAGGTGATGGCAGAGTTTTGTTCCTTCTAGAGACTCTGAAGGGAGCAGGGGAACAGTGTGTGCCAAGCCTGGGAGCCTGAGGGGGACTGGTGGACACACAGACCAGCGCCCCTGGAACACTGGCTGGGGGGAAGCAGCCCTCTCGGCCAGTGTGAGCAGGTCTGTCCATAAGTGGCTTCCGTGTAGGAAGCCATGGGGAGTTTACTAAGTAGGTGACACAGCCAGATTCATGCTTCAGAATAATCATCCTGGCTATAAAGTGGAGGGAACACTGAAGGTGGGGCAGTATTGCTGCAAGGGACCTGTGAAGTGGCCTTGTCAATAGCCCAGGCGACAGGGGATGTGAACCAGAGTGTAACATAGGCACATGCTAAGCTGCTTCAGTTGTGTCCAATTCTTTGCCACCCCATGGACTGTAGCCAGCCAGGCTCCTTTGTCCATGGGATTCTCCAGGCAACAATGCTAGAGTGAGTTGCCATGCCCTGCTCCAGGGGATCTTCCTGAACTGGGTACCAAACCCACAACTCTTGCATCTCCTGTATTAGCAGGTAAGTTCTTTACCACTAGTGCCACCTGGGAACAAGTGTCAAAGCCTGCACTCCATCCCAAGCCTGAGCTGGTTGCACTGCATGGAATCTTGTGGGCACCATATCTTAACCACTTCAGGAGCTGCCAAGTATATTCCCTGAGGCTTGTTGAGAAAAACTCCCCAGCTCTGTGCTGGGGAAGGGCTCTCCTAAGAACAGCAAGTCTGTGCCTTTCCAGAGTGGAATTCTGAAAGAAAGGAGTCCATACCCACGGTTTCACATTTTCCATCCTGTGACCTCCAGAGCAGGCCTTGTGGGGTTAGCTCTCCCCGACTGTCCTAGGAAGATTATGCTAAAGTGGTCTCAGTGGGTCTCAGCTCCCTCGGTCCCTGAGGAGAAGACACAGTTTCAACATACAACATCATCTGGGCAAACAAAGAATTTTAGCCAAAGTTGGAAATCAACACCCACCCAGGTTTTTGGCACCAAATGGGTTCAGAAATGTAGATGATGGAGCTGCTATAAAAACTTCATGCTGTAAAATACTGCACAAATTAAAAAATGTTAACTGGTTAGAATGTCATAATTTTTATGCACATGTAAATAGGTTAGGAATTTTATTCCACACAGACAGTTTTAATTATAAAACAATCAAATTACTTTTCAGGTAATACTTTGGACCCAAATCAAGTAAATTTCAAGTCATTATAGCTTTAGAAAAAGAAACTAATTTGAATATGACATTTAGATCCATTAAAGATCTCAACTTTAAATAGTGATAATAGAAGTCAGAAAAGCTTGAGAGTGGTTAAGATTAATTAAGAGTGAATGCATTTGGGAAAAGAAAATTATAGCACTGAAATTTTAGAATGCAAATGAGGTCAAAAAGTTTAAACTAATTACATCTATATATAAACACTGCCTCAATAACGGAAAAATATTTCATTACAAGGATTTGTAAGTACTGTACTCTGTAATTCTTGTTATATAAGTAGCAACAAACTGGTAAAGTGCAACTGTTGTCAGCTCATCAGAATATATTGATAGTTCAGCTGGTGCTAATTTAGAATTCTTAATCCTCAAAGTTCGCTTCAGCCTGATTTCTTTGCTCTTTGAGGTAAACAGTGTACGTAACCCACTCAAGCTCCTTAAATCCCTCTCCTATATTGTGGACTCTGCTTCTGTAGGTTCCCACCTGCAGTGGCCTGCTGGCACCTTGCCTGGGGTTCTGGAGCTACCTCACCCACCCAGCTAGCGTAGGGTGCCTGGTAGGTTACGCTCTCCACCCCACCCCCATCCCCACCCCCAGTGAGCTTAGCCACTGACTATTCTAAGTGTTCTTTGCCTCAGGTGGGATGGACTCTGGGGTATAATTTATGCTCCAGAACGCCACACAGGATGGGGCTAGGACTAGGCTTCACATGAGACCACAGCTGTGCTTAGCTTCTGCACTAGATCCAGTTCCTTTGAAGTGGAGCCTGGAAGAAAGAATCTTGCGCAAACCTTTCATAGAGGAAGTGCTCTCAGGTGAAACTTACATGGAAGTAGGGCATTAAAAAATAAAGCTATTCTAACACTGGTTAAAACAGTAAGGAAGTCTACTTGCTACTACTGTGATGTGTTAAGACTAGGGCGATAGGGGAGAAAAGTCAGTTTCCACTCTGAATACAGCAAACAATGTGAGGGGATTCTGGGTGGAAAATTGTAAAGAGTAGACATCAAGGGTGGGGGGTGTTTCTTGCTAAACTGTCTTAGATCCTTACTGAAGTTAGGATAGGGTAATCAGATACCAAGTGTGGAGGGATTCTTGCTAAACTGACTAAAAGGATTCTTGCTACAAGTAGACTAGGCAGGCCAAAGACAAGACCCCAGGATGAGGCCTAGTTGAGTAGAAGGCTCTTCTGAGCCTCACTGAGTTTGGTCAAGGAGAGAGCCTTTGTCCGAGGGAAGCAGGGAGGAGCAGGGGAAGAAGCAGGCAAAACTGTGGATTCAGTTGAAGTTTGGCCTCTGCTTGATCATAAAGGGTCCTATCTTGAGGCAAGGGAAATGGGCTTTTTCTAATATCATCATATCAGTTAGGCCTTTGCTATGCACCAAACCCCAGGGGTTGTAATATATGCCAGTGAAAATGAAAGTGGCTCAGTCATGTCCAACTCTTTGCGAACCCATGGACTACACAGTCCATGGAATTCTCCAGGCCAGAATGCTGGAGTGGGTGGCCTTTCCCTTCTCCAGGGGATCTTCCCAACCCAGGGATCGAACCCCAGTCTCCCGCATTGCAGGCGGATTCTTTACCAGCTGAGCCACCAGGGAAGCCCAAGAATACTGGAGTGGGCAACCTATCCCTTCTGCAGCGATCTTCCCGACTCAGGAATCAAACCGGGGTCTCCTGCATTGCAGGCAGATTCTTTACCAACTGAGCTATCAGGGAAACCCAATAAATGCCAAATCTGGGCAATTCTCCTGAGACCTGCGAGTTACTAGGTTGGTGCAAAAGTAACAGCAGTTTTGGACCCTGAATTTTAAATTATTATAACTAGGCTCAAGTACATATTTATTAATCAAAATAGGAATCATTACAATCAACACATTTTTGCCAACAAGAAAATAAGTTTATTCTTGCAACAACAAAAAAAAATCTGGGTATTGGGACTCAACAAACTCTTAGAAAGCATTATCTTCATCCTGTTGGTTGTGGAAACATTTTCCCTGCAAAAAGTTTTTGAGATGCTTGAAGAAGTGATAGTCTGTTGGCAAGAGGTCAGGTCAATATGGCAGATGAGGCAAAATTTCGTAGCCCAAGCCATTCAACTTTTGAAGCCATGTGTGGTTGGGTTTTGTCATGGAGAAGAATTGGGCCCTTTCTGTTGACTAATGCCAGCTGCAGGCATTGGAGTTTTTGGTGTATCTCTTTGATTTACTGAGCTTTCTTCTCAGATGTAAAGGTTTTGCTGGGATTCGAAAAGTTGTAGTGGATCCGACCAGGCAGCAGACCAGTAAACACTGACCATTTTTTTCTGGTGCAAGTATGACTTTGGGAAGTGCTTTGGAGCTTCTTCTCAATCCAGCCACTGAGCTCGTTATCACTGGTTGCCATATAAAATCCACTTTTCATCACACATTACAATCCAATTGAGAAATGGATCACTGTGGTGTAGAACAAGAGAAGATGACACTTAAAGACAACAATTTGTGGGCAGTTCATGAGGCACCCACTTACTGAGCTTTTTCACCCTTCCAAATTGCTTCAAATGCCAAATGGCTATAGAATGGTTGACGCTGAGTTCTTGGGCAACTTCTCACATAGCTGTAAGAGGATCAGCTTCAATGACGCTCTCAGTTGGTCTTTGTCAACTTCCAATGTCCGGACACTACACTCCTCATCTTCAAGGCTCTCATCTCCTTTGCAAAACTTCTTGAACCACCACTGCACTGTACATTCATTATCAGTTCCTGGGCCAAACACATTGATGATATTGTGAGTTGTCTCCTCTGCTTTATGATCCATTTTGAACTCAAATAAGAAAATCGCTTGAATTTGCTTTTTGTCTAACATAATTTCATAGTCTAAAATACATATAAAATAAACATCAAGTTATAATTCATTAGCAAAAAAGACATAAATCAAGTGCACATTAAATGATGTATAACATGCCACATTTGTTGAATGTATTCCAATATCAAATGGCAAAGTTCAAAAGCAAAAAATCATCACTACTCTTGCACCAGCCTAATATTACAATCCACACTCAGGGCAGCTGAGAAAGATCAGCAGCCCGGCTCATTAAAGCAAGGTTGAGCAGAGCGCCAGCACCCTCTACTGTAGCATTTCCCCTTTCCCTATCCTGCCTCCTCCACATCCTTCTCTTTCCCGTTCCTGCCTCCTGAGAGCACTGCCTGCACAGTAAGCCTCATCACAGGCA